GGGCCACGCCCCCAGCCAGCAGGGCGGGGCCGAGGCTGCGGGCTGCCAGCAGGCTGGGAGCTGGGTGAGCACGCGATTGGGGTCGGTTAGCGGGGCGGCGCTCTTTTTTCCCATAAGAGTTATTAATCATTGACGGCAACGCCATTTAGTGTCCCTCACCCGGCACCCAGCACCCAGCATTGGGTAGCCAGCACCCTGCATTCGGCGCCCAGCTCAGCCCGCAGAGCACTCGGGGGAGCCAATAAGGAGCTCTCTCTCCCACGGAAACTTGCACTGTGCCAAAGTTGATAGGAGGTCGGAAACCGGTTGTTTCGTGCTTTGGGCGGAAACCCCAGACACCTGGCTTCTCTGGGTCTGATGAGGGGCGTGGGCTTGCCCACGAGGAGACGTAGATAGCCTTGAACATCTGGCCCCTGCCAAGTCGCAGCGTAGCCCTGTTGCTCCGGCGGTGCGATGACCCTTCAGAGACCCTCTGCAGCACGTTTATTTGGGGGACCGCCAAATATGCGAAACATCGTGATTCACCCCATTCTGCATTAAGTATAGGTTTGTTTTTTTTTTTTGCTATAAAATTGAATTCGAAGGAATATTTATTATTTTACTTTTAGATTTATTTGGCTACAAGGAAGTCATTATAATTGCTAATCGCTGTTGATTTTTGGCATCTCTAATTGAGAATTCTTAGAAGGCAAGAAAATCTACAAATTGCTTTCGAATGATTTTTATGATATATATTAATTTAGAGTTTGAAGTATCTTTTTGCAATATTGAGTTAAAATTTTTTTCATGACTCAAACTTTTTTATGGCCCCTGTAAAGCTTGCGGCTCCCAAATACTGTGCCTACCATGCCTTATGTGGATAAGCGTTGGTAATGGAAGAACATGAGGCTTGTTCTGAGCAGTGCTGAGCAGTGCTCCTGCTGCAGAGGCTGATAAGAAATCAGAACTAACTTCCAGCTGGTTAAATTCATTTTTCAACTTTAAAATGTCTCAGAGCCCTAAAGAACCAAGGAAAGACAAAGAAGCATTCGAGTCTGTTTTTCTGGACACCCAAGACCTGAGCTGGGTAAATAAATAACTGCTTGAAGTGCCCTCGATAATTTCTGGGTTACCCTGCAAATTAGAGTGTAAGCAGATTAGATTTTAAGCTGTGTGGCCTTTAGACACTTATGGACGCCTGTGGCACTCAGATCTTCCTAATCCGACATCGCAACCATCTAGACCTTTTTTTTCTTTATGTGGTTGCCTGTAGAGATTCTCCCAACTTGGTCTTAGTTATTTCCCTGTCTTTGGTACTCACAGTTCTTAGCCCAGGGTAGTAGACTTAAAACAGCCACAAGCTCCCCCGTCCCTATACACTCACCCCCTTGCCTTGGGGCTTTGCCCCTCCCCCATCAAGAAGCAGAGTCTATTTTGTACCTCTTGGATCCAGGCCTGGCCATGTGACTTGCTTTGGCCGAAGAAACAATAGAAACAGGAAGCTATTGAGAAGTGCTTGTGCATTAGGGCATGTCCCTTCTTATGACTCCTGGGCACCCTCCCAACTGCCACTGTGAAAATCCGCCCCAATCAAGCTGGAGATGGGTGGCCCGGCTATCACCGTCACCCCAGCCAACAGACACCCTCTTTTCTGTATCTCTCTAAAACATGAATCTCCCCCCAAAATACCCTTTTTCTCCCATGCTCAACACACTTAAATGCAGTCATTCTCATTAATTATAGAATAAAATTAAACTCCTGAACTTGGCATTCAAGACCGTGACTTTTGGACCCCACCCTTCCAGCCATTCTCCCCACTTCTGTCCACAAGGAGGCCTTTTCCGCAGCCTGGCTTCCTCTCCTCTCCAAGCCCCAGTGCCTTCCCAAGGCCAAGTTCATATCCTCTTCCCTCCTGCTCAGATTCAGGACAGCCATCCTTCGGAGGTCGCACCAAGACCTTCCTTCTGCAGCCTTTCCTGACAAGTCCAGTCTCTTCGTTCACTTTTTCATTCAAAAATCTGGGTACACTGGAAAGAAGACAGCTTCGGTCCCGCCGTCATGGAGTCCAGGGGTAAGACAGAAATTTACAGGAATTATACTCCCAACCATTCACTTGACACTTAGCACACATGTCCTTGTTTTTTAAGTCAACGATTCATATATATGTAAATAAGAGAGAGAAAAGGTAGCAGGGAACCAGCTTTTTTAGAATAATCACTACATTGTAAGTGTTTCACATACATTACAAAATTTAGCCATCTTAATAAGGCAGCGAAGTGGGTGTGAGCTCCATTTTTACCGTCGGAGGCACTGAGGCTTGCCGAGGGTAAGTGACCTGACCCAGTTTCCACAGTCCACCTTCGAACCTTGATCCACGTGACTCATTCCCTCCTGGTCTTTCCACAGCGTCACCGCTCGCCACCATGCAATCGAGCCAAAACTTTGCATCGGCACGGGAGACACAGTAAAACTCCCAGGTCCCTCTAGTGGAGATTCTGCCCTAACCACCAAACCTCCCCGCCAAATTCTTCTGCACTCATCAGTGTGCGTGAGCATGTGCCCAAGCATACCGATAGGTACGAACTTCTGCCCTCAAATTCCAGGAGTGGTGTATTAGTCAGAGAAACAGAAACAGTAGGAGACAGAGATAGACAGACATATGGACGGAGAGATGACTGATAGGTAGGTAGGGTTTGTGGTAGGTGGATGGATGGATGGATGGACGGACGGACGGACGGACGGACGGACAGGCAGGTTATGGAGGATGCCATTTTTGCCAGCTGGAGCCCCAGGAGAGCTGATGGTATAGTTGCGTCTCCAGAGCAGAAGGCTGATGTCCCAGCTCAAAAACAGGCAGAAAGGTAAAGCTCCCTCCCTGCCTCTGTCCTCTTCACCCCTGGGTGACTTGAGGAGCCCCACCCACCTGGGGAGGGCCATGTGTTTCGCTCAGTCTACAGATTCAAATGTGAACCTAATCCGCGGAACTACCCTCCCAGACACACCCCCGTGAACGTCTGACCGGTCCGGTGACCGTGGCGCGCAGCCGAGGTGACACAGAATTAACCCGACTGGCAGGGCCTCTGTGCCTGACTCCACTCCTCACTAGGCTCAGGAAGAGTTCGGCCTCGTGTGTTCACCACCGGGGACCTTGGAGAGCTCCTACCGCGGGTCCAGGTCGCGTCCCGCTTCCTGGCGATTTCGCGAGGCGCTGCTTGGCGTCAGCGAGCTGAGAGCCAGTGTCGCACAGTGTCTCAAGCCAATATCGTAAACACACATTAACTCACTGCAGGTCGATTTCCATCACTTTTATTGGCTCCTAATGAATGCAGTCATGAAACATCTTTCTTGGCTTTAATTATCCATCTTAACTCTTTTTTTTCTTCCAACTGCAACACGCAAAACTTAAGAGGGAAACAAAGCAGAGTGGGGAAAAGGAACAATCCGTCCCACGAACCCCATCGCGGTACAGCGGGAGTGAGACCGCCGGGGCCCCAGGGGAATCGCGGCCGCGCAGCGCCAGATTGAGAAACCTCCTCGTCTCTTTGCAACCGAGACCCAGAGAAATTTAGGGACTTTCCTAAAGGGATACAGGTTAGTGACGCGGGCCCAGCGTTCCTCCCAGCATCCCATCCCCACGGGAGGAAAGTTCACCACCGTCCAGCGCCCGCTGGGTCCCTTCACGACCCTGGCTTCGCCCGCGGCTGGAGGCACGTCCACGTCTTCTTCCCACCCCGGCTGCCGCCCCTCCTGGCCCTGCAGAAACGGCTGGAGCTGCAGCTGCCCTGGGCCCCTCCGGCTGGCGTGGGGGCCGCTTCCGTTTCTCCAACATCTCGCACCCAAAGGCCGCCCTGCCTTTTTAACTTTCATTTTTTTAGATTAAACAGGAAACATTTCCAAACAGCTGCTGTTTGCCAGGCACTGTCTTAACCGCCTGGCGCGTGCTATGGAATTTGGCGGTCCTCCGCGTTCTTTGCGTGGGAACTCAGCGCGCCAACTTCCCGGGTTAGAAAACTAAAGCGCTAAGAGGCTAAGACTTTGCTCAAGGTCACACGATAAGTAGGTGGCAGAGCCAGAACTGAAATTCACAGGCTATTCCAATACTTCTAATCGTGATATATTGCCTCTTAAAGGCTGATGTTCCCAGAGCAAAGATCTTTAAAGTAATGCAGAGATCATGAGCTAACTCAACAGTTAATCTTCTTGGTATAGATAAAAATGTAATTACGTAGCTACCTCCTAATTTTACTGAGGATTTAAGGCAGCTTATAAAGAAAAAAAGATGATAAAGAGATAAGTAAATAGCTAGAGATATAATAGATAAAGTATTTTTTAAAAGTAAGACCCAAGGAACGTATATATTAGAATAGTAAATGATGGAAGAAGTTAAACTTAATTCAGTAGATCATAAAGGACTCCAGTTGCTAGTTTGGAATAACAAGTTTTTTGAGCTTCCTGGCATCAAAAATGAAAAAGAAAATAAAATCTGTGACATCATTCTCATTAGCTTTAAGAAGACAGCTTATCTGCTCCTTGGGAGAAGCAAAGCTTTCCCCAGCTGTTTGCTTGAGAACAGGGGTCCTCAGCCCCCAGGCCGCAGACCGGTACTGGTCCATGGCCTGTAAGGAACTGGGTTGCACAGCAGGAGGTGAGCGGCGGGCCGGTGAGCAAAGCTTCAACTGTATCTGCGGCTGCTCCCCAGCGCCAGCATCACCGCCTCAGCTCCGCCTCAGATCGTCAGACATTAGATTCTCATAGGAGCACTGGTCCCTGGTGCCACAAAGTTTGGGGACCGTCATTATAAGGGGTTTTAGCGATCAGAGTTCTCAGCTGCAAGCAACAAAAACCGACTTTGACCAATTTAAACAAGAAAGAGATTTATTAAAATAATTTTATCTCATGCCCAACACAAAAATTAACTAGAATGAGGGAATGATGTCAGCAAAAATGACTGAATAAGAACCTCCAAAAATCTTCTCTATAAAAGCAGTGAGAGCACTGACAAAAACTGTCAGAATCGATGTCATCAACATTTTTGGAAATTAACCAAGGGTTCGCAAGAATGTAGGGACCACGCGTTTAGGCAAAACGGCTGAATCTTGGTAAGAAAAGGTAATTTCGCGGTGAAGAAAAAGGAAACAGGTGTCCGTACATTTTCATGACCTTGGATTAGGTGCTTTCACTCAAAAGCACAAACAACAACAAAAGTCGGACTTCATCAAAAAATTTTTTAAATGTTCATCAAAGGATACTATCAAGAAAAGTGAAAGTCAACCCGTAGAATGAGGGGGAACAGTTGCAAATCATGCCTCTGATTAGGACCTATAAAGAACTCGTACAGCTCAACAGAAAAATCGACAAACGACCCAACTTAAAAACAGGCAAAGAACTGGAATATATGTTTCTCCAAAGAAGACATGCAAATGGCCGATCAGCACACAAAAATATGGTGAACGTCATGAGACATCAGGACAATGGAAAGCAAAATCACAATGACATTCCGCGTCGCACCTGCTGGCACAGCCAGGATGAAAACAGGACGGGACAGGACAGGAAAGGGAAAAGAAATGTTGGCAAGGATTTGGAGAAATCGGAGCCTTTCCATGCTGCTGGCGGGAATGTAAAATGGCGCAGCCGCTGCAGACAACATTTTGGCGATTCTGCAGAAAGCTAACAGTTCCCACGTGACCCAGTAATCCCACTCCTAAGCACACGCCCGGGAGAAGATGAAAAAATGTTCACTCCGAAACAAATATGTCCATAGCAGCATTATTCATAATAGCCAAAAAGTGAAAAAAAAAAGCAAAATGTCCATCAATGGATGAATAAATAGACATCATGTGGGGTTTTTCTGTAACTTTTTTTGTATTTTTTACATTTATTTACTTTTTTTTACATTTTTTTTTGCCACTTGACGTTTAGTTAACACCAGGTCATGGCTGTCTTGCGGCATCCTGTACAAACTTCGCCTGTCCTCGTCACGGCTTGAAGAGCCCGCTGACCAGTACTCAGTGTGACATTTAACGAGCCTGGTGTGGGTAGACACTCTGGGTGTTTCCACTTTGCTTTGTATCCCTTGGAAACGACGCTGTGCCCTATGTCATTGCATTTCTTTGCATCTTTGTATGCCTCCCGGAGGCGGTGGCCACGTGGGAGTTGCCTCTCATTTGCCCCAGAGGAGGCTGAAGCCACCCAGAGGCTTTTGGAAAAGGCGGCCCTGGAGCCGCCCATCACAGCAAAGGGTTCCACGGAGCCAGAGCTGGCCGGGAAGGAAGCAGGGTGCATTTTGAGTCATTTGCCATCAGGAACCTTGGGGAAGTCTCACGAGGCAGGGAACATGGGCCTGGTCCAGGTGTCCCCAGGGGCTGCCAGCCCCAGAGTTGAGCCCTGGAACAGGCCCACTGAGGGCAGAGTCAGCACGGCGGGCGGGGTGGGGGGGGCGGGGCGCCGGC